AAATCTTCTTTCCCTTTTTGAAAACTCTTCTTAATTTTGAACTTGAACCATTTTCATAATAAACTTGGACTTATGTCCATGCATTTTCAAAACATTTTCATAAATAAACCTCAATCAACTTAATAATACCTTGACATTTTTTTTGTGAGAAGACTAAAAGTCAATCAATCTCATTTCAAACCATTTTTGCCACTTTGGCTTTTTATCTTTAAAACTTTTCTTAAAAGATTAAACTCTTATCAATCCTTGTAGTGATGCAAACAACTATACTTCTACAAGATGTAGTGAAGAGAGATATTTTCCACTTGGGTGTTGAGTGAGGAATTGTTGATTTCAAAATCCAAGCCATATCCTCCACTTTGAGATGATGCAAATTCTCCTTTCTCATGATTGTGGGTAGTAGGTGTGTTTTTCACACGGACAATGACGATGATGTTTTATCTTATAAAATTAACCAACACATTTGGGTTTTAAATTTTTGAAAGAGGAACTACGTGTACCCTGATCCCCTATTGCATGAAAAGGTGGTACGTAGGCACTAAAGGTTCGCAACCGCGACGGGTGAAAAAATTATAAAATAAATATATTTCTTTCCTCACCTCCACCATCCATTTTTTTTATATATACAGCATTTTTTATAGCCAAAATATACAGATTTTACAAAGAGGCTCCTGCAGAGTACCGTAGATGTTTAGGGTGCTAATACCTTCCCTTTGCATAACCACCCCCCCTTACCTTGAATCTTTCCCCCTCTTTTTGGGTTATTCGCTCTTTTTCCATTCCTTTGGAAACAATAAAGCGCTGTGGCGATTTTTATTTTGATTTGTATGAAGTCTAGTCAATCCAATGGCTTAGTCTTAAACATTTCTACCGCTACACCATGTGCCACTTTTTAGCATGGTTGGAACTTCCAATCGTGGTGAAAAGTGGCTTAAATATGAAAATAAAAAAACGCGTCTAGTTTAATAGATTCTACCATGGTGTATCCTTTGATGTGATGACTTGGGTGTTGTTGTTTGCGCGTTTTGTAGTAGTGTGATGAATATTACTTCTAATGAAGTAGATTGACTTGAGAAGATATCATCTTTTGATCTTGTCTTCTGATGGACTATATGATGTAAATTAGTAATGAGTCCAAAATATTTAACTTTCCTTGATCTGTCTTCTGATGGAATACTTCTGATGTAAATTAATATGCGCGTATTCTACGAAGTATCAGAGTCTTCAGAATCTTGACTTTGTCTTCAGAATTAGAAGCAACAGCTTTTCTGATGAACAAATCTTGACTTCAGATTCAGAATTAGAAGATTTTCTTTGATGTGTTCAGAACCTTGACTTTGTCTTCAGAGTTAGAAGTAACAGCTCCTCTGACGAACAAATCTTGACTTCTGATCTTTGACGCAAAAGCTTATTTCTGGTGCAATCTTGTTTTCTGATCTTAGAACAACAACTCTAACATAAATTCTTTCTTCTAGAATTCTTGTGACTTCTGAAGTAGCACCTTATTGAGAAGCACACATTGAGATCCTTTTCTGGTGAGCATTCAACATTCTTCAGAACTGTTGATATTTCTTCAGAATTGAATACGATAGTCTTTCTGAGGAGAGCTAAACACTTTTCTAATGATTCTTCAGACAACAGTCTTGAATCAATTTGAATGTTTTATCTGCACACTTAAAGAACTATTAGATACCAAAATTGTTACACATAAAATATATGTATTGTTATCATCAAAACTCATATTATATGCAGAACCAAATCTTTTTCTAACAATAAGTACGTGTTACAAAGATCAAGTCAAGTTCTGGAATGCTTATAAACAACAGTTTTGATAAACATTAGTCTAAAGATTCTGATTGTGACTCTAATGTCAAGATCTTCTAAAGACTTCTCAAGCTCTAATGTTTCTAGGCTTCCAAGTTCTGAGATTCTAAAGACCAAGTTCTGAAAACTCTAAAGACAAGGTTCTGGGAGAAAAGTTCTGAAGACTCTGAAGACAAAGGATATGTAGATTCTCTCTCAAGTTTTGGTCTTTCTAAGCCTGCTTCATCAACACACATTTTGAAGCTTATGAAGATTAGAATATAAGATCAAAAGGTTTTACGTGAGTAAATAATACATGGTACAAGATAAAATGTTTCCACTACTATGATTTTATGGCATATGTAAGATTGTATGTCTTCATAAGTGTACATCCACACTTTGAGCTATCTGAACTTGTTTTATCTGTTCGCTTGGCTTCGTGAAAAATAAAATTCAAAGTCGCCTGAGACACTTTGCCAACCAACTGTGAATAAAGGAAGTTGTCTTTGAATCGGTGTTCTAACACAGTAATGTTTCGACCAAAATATGTATGTATCTCATTATGTTGGTTTCAGAGCATTTGGTTAAAGGCGTCTCAATCTCGACAAAAATCACCTTTACTGTTTCCCAACCAATTCTTTAGTCTAGCATGTGTAGATTCAACTCTATTAGTTGTGTATTGCCAAAGTATCGAACCCGATCGATCCATGCACAAACACAATATTATTGAGTAGAGGGGACAATTCGGAGATGCATCTCTAGATACACCCAAATATTATACAGAGATGCATCTCCGGACCATATTTTCTACAACATGTGGTGGATCTCAAAAAAATGAAATTTAGTGTTATTTTGAGTGCTTCCGAAGATACATCTCCGAATACATGAATGGCATTTTCGGATTTCCAAGGGTGTGGGATACACACATAAGAATGGAATGAGCAACCCCGTATTTTTAAGCCCCTTTAAATTTTAATTTTTTATCGGACCTAAGTAAGGGGGTTTAAAATCTAATTTGTTCGGAACACAATATTTTAGTTTTTTTAAATAAAAATATTTTTTTTCAAAAATAAAAACTTTTTTTTAAAATTTAAAAAATCAATATTTTTTCAAAAAATTTTCAAAAAATAGATTTTCTATTTTTTCATAAATTAAAAAAAAAAACTTTTTTCCTTGAAAATTTAAAAAAATGTCTATCTTTTTTCTAAAAGAATATTTCGATTTTTGCAAATAAAAAATGTTTTTATCGAAATTAATAAAAATCAAATTTTTTCAAAAATAAAAATATTTCGATGTTTATTTTTAAATTTTTTTTTCCATTAAATCAGCTCAATTGATAGATAGGTAGGTTTGCAGGTTCGAACCTGTGACATCCCTATTGTTCATATTTAAAGTTTGAACTTCAGCCATAGGCTACAAGACTACAAAATTTCTTTTAAAAAATAATTAAAATAAACAAACTTGTGAAAATGTTGGGACCTTAAGGCCTTACTTAAATTTTGGGGGCTTTAATTTAGGGAGCCTACTTTTTAGGGTCATTTATTTTTAAAATTTTAGGTTCTCAATTAGGCCTCAGCCCCATAAATTGACAGATCTATTTACAAATCAACCATAAATATTATAAAGGTGAAACTCCTAAACCATTTATAGGTGATAAAATATCATGTTATAATTAGGTTAACAAATATCTATGTTACATTATGTATTTTATGTATGTGATAACAAATATCTATATGGTATTACGTTTATTTTAGATTCTCTATTTAATATAGTTGGTGTGTGATTTGTTAGATATTTGGGTATGATAATCCTGGATAACTTCGAAGAATCGTGTTCGTACACTTTCCGAACAAAGTATTTCGACCCTATTCTTGTCTGGGTTCACGAAATCTTTGTGGGGATAATTCTCGAAGAACAATTTGTTTCTGGCAAAAGAAACTGATTACAAATGTAGAGAGAAAGTGTCGTTTTTCGTATTTGAAACCGAGGCCAAATGACTCCTTATATAAGAGATCAATAACTGAAACCGAAAAGACACACCTGTTCCGAAAAACGGTTATGTCGGTTGGAATCCCTTGGAACCCCAACGGGGCGCTGCCCCGTACCCCGCCAGGAGCTTCGCCTCTTGGAACCCCATTTCAATTATTCATATTCAATTATACATTGGCTCGACGAGCGTGCATTCCGCACTTCCCTAACTCGTTTCCAAGCTTAACGCATAATTGCATCGGCCTTTAGTAAATCACATTATTACTAAAATACATTGGTGATACTAAATCACCAACATGATTTACATGTGATGACATGAGTGAATTCTAATTTAAATATTCAGACAAATCCCTATAACAAATTACTTGAGTTATGTGTGTTATATTTTGTCTACTTAATAACAAATGATAAATTGTGTGTGTATTTTGTCTACTTAATAACAAATGGTGAATTTGAATTTCAATATTCAAACATACACCTAGAAAAAATTGTCGTTGTGTTCGATCCATGTGATAAGAAATGATAAATCTTGATTTTAATATCTCCATATTTTTTATTTGTATTTGAGGTGATTTAGGTGCTTCCAAATTCTAATTTCAAATTTATAAAAGTAGTTTTAAAATTTCGCCAAATTAGACGAATAATGCATGAAATGCAATGAAGAATTTCCTTAAAAGATGTGTCTTTGATTTGAGGGGTTGGATTGGCTAACTTTGGTGCCTTTGCTATAAAAAGTAGGATTCATGACAAAGGTAGAAGATCCCTCCCCTTGGTTGGTTTGAGGCCCACAAACAAGCTAGAACCAATAGGGGAAGTGACCCCAAGAAGTATATACGTTGCAATTCCCAGCTCTAGAGGACAAAAGGGGTTGCCCACAAGAAAAGAAACATTACCAATCGCCTTCTGGGCCCCCTTTCTGAAATCTTAACTGTAGAATTAAAAGGTGCAAATGCATATACTTTATAGGCCCATTCCTCCACCGAAGAAGATCCTACACGAAAAGGAAAAGTTGACTCCACATATAAGGTGACAGGAAACCAGCAGAAAGCACTACTACTCTAGACAAAATTGCAGCGTGATATGGAAATGTATATTCATGCACTAGCCAACAATAGGTCTATTTTATAGACATTTTGTAAATCATCAACTACTCTAAATGAAATTTTTTGAATGAAATGAAAAACTAAACTAAAAATTCTACAAAACATCTAAGCCCATTTGGCTAAAAGAGACATACATCCAGCTCCTAATAGAAGAGATATATTACACCCTAATCGAAGACTACCACTCTTTTGCATCTTTGGATTCATAAAATCAGCAGCAAGAAGATCTACAAGTGCCATATAGATTAATATCCCAGCTGAAGCTGCATTGAAGACTCCTTCAACAATAAGTGCTGTTGGACTGTTCTCATCATAAACACTACTGATGCCTATCCCAATTCCGATTCCAATTGGAGTTGTCAAAGCAAAGAACAATCCCATGACAGTAATTGATAGACTCTTGAAATTTGCCTGCAATGATTGCACATAGTTGTCAAATAAGTATACTATCTTAACTGTCTTATCATTATCATTTTGATGAAAAGCTAGCAGTACCTATATTTGAAACTTTATAAAGAAATCAAATTATTTTGATGAAAACGCATATAAGTCCCATGCACAGTCTCAAATAATTTGATACAAAACTAAATCATTTTCTGTAGTTGAAGAATATATATCATAAATATAATACCTGAGTTATACAACTTCCAAGTCCCATGCCCTCAAAAAATTGATGAAAAGTTAACGCAGCTACCAGTGGCTTTATGGTCTTAGGACTCTCAGAAGTACCAAGAGAAATTCCTATTATAACCGAGTGAACAACAATCCCCAACTCCAATACCTATAACAAAATCAAAACAATCCATCAAAATCAATTTAAACTGAATCTGTTGCACTATAGATACTTAAAACAAATAAGTTTGTAGTATTATTACCTGCGATATAATCCTATGACGAAGAAGTTCTGATGATCGATCCGAAGAAGAAGAAACCTGGCCATGTGCATGACCATGTGTAGCATGAGTATGAACATGCACATGTCCTTCATGCCCTCCATCTTTCTCTACATCAGAGCATGACTCATGATTCTCGACTTGTTTCGGTGTCTTCTTAGAATTCTGATTTTGAAAATAAGAAGTGGCGTAAGTCTCCACCATAAGAGTCCCCATAGCAGTACACATAGCCACAAAACCAGTGAGCGGAAAATCACCCCAAGGATGTTCCTTTAAACAAGGAGAAGTGAGATCCTCAAAAGCATCAGGAAGCACATGTATGAAAGCGGTGGATAATATCACACCAGCAGCAAAGGTTTTGATGACGAAAAATATATCTTTTTCGGGACTTAACGCCGGAATCAGTTTACCAAGAAGTGGTATACAAACACCGATTGCACCTGCCACCATTATTGATATTAAAGCAGCTATCTTGTAACGAAGAGCTTTGGATTTGTCTCTATCTTCATCTTCTTCGTCGCATGTGCATTCTGCGGCTATTAGGGTTGGGATTATGAGAAAAATCAAGATAGAAAAGGCAAGAACCTTGTTGAATTCCATTTCAATGATTTGAAACTACTAGGGTGAAAGATCGATGAATTAAGAGAGTGTGTTTGTTCCGGGAACGTGGTTTAACTATGCAAATTGCAATATATATAACAGAAGATTAGGGTTTGTATTACAATGTGAATTCGGCAGGTAATGATGGCAAGCACAATGGAGTTTGTTGCATTCATATGAGTAGTTGATTATTTTGTTATAGTCATTGTGTTGTAAAAGTGTCGACATAGTTGAGTAGCTATAATAAGAAACTGTTTTTGAAATGGTTAAGTATAGAAAGTCAAAGGGAAAACTTATTGATATTTGATATTATGTCGAAACTTTTTTTTTTCATTAGTAATGACGTAATTTCTTTTCTATTCTTTCTCTTAGAAAACGTACACGTCATTGTTTATACATATTTTTTTGTTGAGGAAAAACTCCAGCGATCAAGAAGGAACTTTTACACGTAGCACTGTTCTCACAAATCAATTATACCTTTTAAAAAAAATCAATTATACTTTTTTATTTTTTTAATTAATTGAAAAACAATTAAGTAAAGTACTGTAATTATATTTTTTTATTTTATTTTTAGTGTGGTCAAATTTGTGATATAATCATGTGCCTGCGTAAGATTTTCTATACAAATAATACAAGAAATATGATACTTCAATCATGGTCCACTAATAGTAGGACCCCACAAAAAGTAATAAAATCCATATAGACTTACGAAAATAGATATTCTCTAGTTTTCACGTGTTATTTATCGATTTTTATTAAACGTTAAATATGTTTTTATCTCTTTAAATATGTAGAATTTCTTTTTTATCTATTTAAATATTTCTTTTATTGAATGGTCTTTATAAAATTTTCTATTCATAAGATTAGTTTATGTTAAATTGAATTATTGAATGGTCTTTATAAAATTTTCTATTCATAAGATTAGTTTATGTTAAATTGAATTAATGACGGCTGATGTGGGCGCACACGTGTAATTTAAATTTATTTTACTTTATTTTATTATGATTAAAATACATGGGCACAAATCCTACGTGGTATATGCTTAGTTAAATAATATTGTAATCCATCTTCAAATTGAATTAAATCTTAAAATACCAAACATATATCTTTTTGGTCTAAAACACTCAAAGACAGAAAAATTCATCTTCGTCGTTTGAAGATAAGTAGAAGACGTAATTGGAGTTTCATCGTTCCTTCACATAGTCGTTATTTGAAGCGTCAATTGCATCGTTTGTAGTTGTTGTTAGAAAGATGTAGTCCCAAGATGAAGTCAGGTGTGTTATACTCTTTTTATTTATGGTATCAATTTGTCCAACAAGTTATAGTTTTTTGCATTATGTGTAGTGTGGACCCTTTGTTGTTTTGTAGGGTTGACTGTTAATGATATGGTTGCACTATGTGTTGACCACTTTGTTGTATTGTATTGTTGAATTCAATATGCATTAAGTGTGGTCAAGTATAATTTACCCTGTGTATATGATGAGATTATTCAAGGTTGTGTTTTTTTTATAAATGAGTCTTTTGTAAAAGATTCAGATACTGTATGAAGGTGGAGACATTTTTGTATTTAATGGACAAGACACAAATTTCTGGTCATTCTTTAAAGCTCGTGACCTTATCAAAGAGGCAGACTCTACATTTAGTTTAGATGAAGTGAAAATGTGGTGAAAGCATGAAGAAGATTCTTTGGAAAAAGATCTTAAACCTTTTAGAAATGATGAGGATGCTTCTTTGTTGACTTGGTTTGCCGTGAACAATAATTATGATGTGGAAATTTACATAGAGACCAAATCTACTACATGTGAGTTGACCTATATGGAGAGGCTTATAAAGAGACTGCATGAAAGTTATGAGGGAGATAGTGGTTATGAGTATGAACCAAGTGAAGATTCTTTGGATGATATTCACTTTGAGGATAGTGAATGGAGACCTTGAAGAAAGAACTAACACTGAAGGTGTGTCTAAAAATGATAATGTTAAAAGTGAATCAAACAGCCATGGCTTTATCATTGAGGAAATGGATAAGGAACATATTATAGAAGAAGATTACATGACAGACGAGCTTGATAGTGGGGCTGCTGAAGATAGTTGTGATGACAGGCCTCCAGTGATTAGGCTCAATAAAGAGGATACACTTACAAAAGATTTCAAGTTCAAGGTAGGGATGGAATTTTCATCTTTGAGGAAATTTAAAAAGGCTCTTATGGAACATAATATTTTGAATGGTAGAGGAGGTAACATTTTCCAAAAATGATGCCAATTGGTGTAGGGTTGTGTGTAAGCAGAAGAAGCTATGTGATTATAATATATTATGCAGTAGAGTTTTGAGGATTACAACATTCAAGATCAAAACTTTGTTTTTCAAACACATATGTGGTAGAAAATTCTTCAATAAGAATGCCAAGGCTTAGTGGGTTGCTAAGATGATAGTTGACAAGTTGAGGAACAATTCTAAGATGAGGTTAAATGAAGTTGTGGTAGATGTAAGAATGATGTTTTCTACTAATACCACTGGTAGCAGAGCTTTTAAAGCTAGACACTAAGCAAGACAAGTTGTTGAAGGAGATTCAAGCAAGCAATACAATATGTTATGGTCATATGGTGCTGAGTTAAGGAGGGCATTTGCAAGAAACACATTCAAGTTAAACATTCACATACCTGGACCTGAGTTGCAACCAAGATTTGAAAAATGTTACATGTGCTTTGGTGGGACCAAAAAGACATTGGCTAAGGCATGTAGATCATTCACAAGTTTAGATGGTTGTCACCTAAAGAATAAATATGGTAGAATTTTACTAATTGCAATTGGGAGGGATCCCAATGATCAGTATCTGCCTATTGTATTTAGTGTTGTAGAGACTGGATATAAGGAATCTTGCAACACTTAGGGAAAAGGTAGAAAATTACAAGGGTGATATGATGTCAAAACCACTTAGGAGGTTAGATAGGGAGATAGAAAAAAGTGCTAGTTGGTTGCCAACATATACAAGTCAGCTAAACTTTCAGGTGACACATGTGATGTTCACAGATAGTTTTATTGTATACTTGGGAAAAGAAAGTTGTTCATGTAATTTTTGGGATTTGGTTGGGATCCCATGCAGACATGATGTGGTTGTCATTAATAAGAAAGTTGATGATCCTATCAAATATGTTAGTAGGTGTTATCATAGGAACACTTACTTGAAATTCTATAATGAGGTTGTGACACCCATAAATGGAGAAAACAAATGGCCCAAGACTGATGCTCTAGAAATTTTGCCACCACTTTACAAGAGGAGTCCAGGTAGGCCAAAAAAACTCAAGGATGGAACTAGATGAGGCATCCCAAACAAGATGGAAAATAACAAACATAAGCCATATGCACAAAACATGCTTAGTGTATGGTCACAACACCATAACATGTAAGAAGAATGGGCAACTTGTAATTGTTCTTGGTGAACTACCAACAAGTGTTGAAACAACAACTCAAGTGATCCAAACTACAAATATGAATACATGACCAAGGAAAAAAGGTTAGTATATTTACTATCCAATTATGTGTCATTCGACATAATTGTTACTTTACTATGAAAGTATGTATTCATTATGTGTACTTGTCTCAACAGGGTAGGCCAAATGGGTCAACCAATAAAGAAGGCCCAAGTAAAAAAGGCAAAGATACCAGCTCATGAGGCTTCTGCACAACCTAAGACTTCTGCACAACCTGAGAATACTTCACAACTTGAGCAGGCTTCTGCACAATCTGAGCAGGCTTCTCCATAAAATGAAAAGGCTTCTACTCGACCTGTCAGGCATCATGCAACACATGCATCTACAAATTCTAATGAGGCACTAAGAATGTATTGTGAGATAGAACTTGATGCACTGGCTACACTACTGAATGATGATGATATATTGGACATTGAACCACTATGTGTTGACACTTCTCCTGTAAAAAAACATGCACAACAAATTGTTCATGTAAGTCCAGGTAATGCATAAGAAACTGCTCATGTCAGAACATTCTTTGGTCCATGTCTAAAACTGACTAAGTCTCCAAAGCCAGAACTACCTAAGTCTATAAAGCCAACTATGAGTGACCCTGTAAGTTCAATAAGACATGCTTGAATTAATTGGTATTAAGATAGTTGTCAGTTGGTTTTTAACAATAAAAGTTGTTGTCATGAAAGGTGAAGGCCTTGATACCAAAAGGGAGGAAAGCAAAGCATGCTGGAACTCTAAAAGGAAGAGCGATCGACTTATGACATTGAAAAAACATTACATTGTGGGGCCAGGGAAGCATGCTGATGATCCACTTGTGATACCTAAAGAGGACATACAAGTTGGCAGTGCTAATGGAAAGAAGTCTTGGAAGACCATCGAGAAGAGCTTGACTCATTGAAAAGAGATGATTAAACTATGTTTTTTAGTTTATTATGTACTCTTGTTTTGAACATGTGCATTATACACTCTTTTTGGACAAGCATCTTAGTATAATATCAAACCAACATACTCTTTTGTTTTGTGTGTAATATCAAACATATCTATTGTTTGACAAGATCTGTTAACATATGTACTCTAATGTTTTGAGTGGATAACTTCTATTAACATGTGTACTCTTTTGCTATGTTGAGATATGGTTTGCAAAATGTTTCAATTTTACCATACTGATAATAATTCATTAAACTTATTAACCAAAAATACAATACTGATACATTAAACAACAATTGATAATGATTCATTAAACTCATTAACAATACGTATACATTAACAATATTGGTATATTAACAATACTGATACATTACAATTGAGGTAATGACACATAACCGAAGATACATTCCATTGTATACGGATAAACCAATATTCAACACATACATTTCAACACCAAATAAACATTGAAAAACAATGAAATAGCAAGACACAACATTTTCATTTTCCATAAAATTCCTCTGCTTTGAGTTTAGTCTTCAAAGTTATGTTCTTCTTCTTTGTATCTTCAAACAATTCTTTCAAATATTCCC